CGATTAATTCCCAAATCGCATCCTTAGGAGCTCTTAATCGCATCCTAAAAAGATGTTTTTGTAAACAACAAAATAAAACAAAAAAATAAAACAAAAAAAATTTTTTAGATGTTTTTTTTTTTGTTCGCATTTAGATCTTCTACTACATTAAATTGATTATTCTGCACTCTTTATTATGTCTTTTTCTTGTGTATGATTACAAAAAGGATATGATTCAGTGGTAACTGAACTTCGTGTCGTGCAATTTTGGACCAAAATCATACTTGTGATTAACAAATTGCACTCCCGCTACGCGGTCGTGCAATTTTGTAATCACTCGTATGATTTTGGTTCAAATTGCACTCCACTCAGTTCAATTACCATCATAAATCATTATCTCTGAAATTATTATCTCTGAAGTCTGAGAAATTTTTCGTTTGTGATTTTGGTCTCGCTTGGTCGCGTGTGACCGGGAATCGCAGTAATATTTCGGCAAGGAAACGAAACATCAACAAAGAAAGTAAAGGCCTTTCTTATTTATTTATTTGAAATTAAGGAACGGATCCAGCACTTTGAAATGATCCAGTAGGCTTGACAGCGCTTTTATTTAAGCATATATAGATCTTGAGGGTACACAGATCTTGAGCGATCTAGAGGGTTTAACACAGTATTAAGAGATTAAAATATCAATAAATTTCAATTTAAACGCAGTTTGCTTTACTTTATGCAATCATGATATCAAACACATGAAAGAGTGAAAGAGTGTCAGTTCGTCCGATTTCCAAACACCGAGACGTGAGGTTAAAAAATCGAGACGGAGCCGAGTTTTAATAATGAGCCAACTTCGAGGTACTTGGATGGAGGATCGATGAAAAAATCTTTCAAGTACCTGATATAGTTTCTCAAACTATTAATAACTCTTGGAGAAATGTAAAGCATAAGTTGCCCAAACAGCGTTATGCTAATTAAGAGTTTTCAAAAACTTCTTCCTTTTAAAAACCTACTTCTTTCGTGTAAAAAAGTGTTAACTTTCGAAATTCTGTGCTAAATGAAGTTAATTATCATTAATATTATTTTTCCGTCTTAATAAGCCGAGATACCTGCAAATTTTGTACAAATAACAATCTGCTCATGCGCGAGAGTTTTGTGCTGTATCCAGATCAGCAGATAAACAGTATTCTGTTATATATAAGACACGTCAACAGGTCGCTCGTATGCTGTCACCACAACATGAGCCCTTTTCAGAAACTTTTGCTATTGGGGTGTTTCGCATCTTTAATTTGGCTATACTCGAGTTTGTTTAACGTTGGGCACAAAGAACAGGAGTGCTTCTTATTTTGCCAAGGTATATATATAATTTCTTTTCGGTATATTTTTCATATATTTATATATATGTGGTTGAATTGTCAAAGTTTTAGGGATTCGGTTTATATATATATATATGTATATACATCTGTGTTTGTGTGTGTATTCAGTGTGTTCAAGTATTCAGTGTAAACAGTAATTTGTGGAGTACCACAGGAAGTACGCTGGGACCTTTACTATTCCTTCTTTAATATTAATGACATTGTTTACTCCTCCGACAAACTTTCTTTTAGACTCTTTGCTGACGATACCAATTTGTTTGCATCTTCTAAAAACCAGCAAGAGCTTGAATCAAATATGAACCAAGAATTAAAAAAAGTCAAAAACTGGTGCGACGCCAACAAACTTTCAATTAACTAATAAAAAAACAAATTTTATGATAATCAAATCAGCCAAAAGAAACTAACAACACCTATGAATGTTGTATTTTCCTCGGGTGACACTTACCACCCCCTTGAACAAAAAGACCATATCAAATACCTATGTGTCATGGTTGATAAGTTAAACTGGAAAAACCACATTGCTTTTATCCGCTCAGAAATTTCAAGAAATACTAGTATCTTCTTTAAACTTCGACACTATCTTTCACCAATTCAACTTCGACAAATTTATAACAGTCTTATATACCCATACCTCTATTATGGCATTACTGCATGGGACAGTACTCGTAAAACTAATATCAAAATACTCCAAACTAAACAAAACCATATTGCTAGAATCATCTTTTTCTCGACATTATATGGAAAAAATACAGATAGTCCATTACCATTATTAAATCTTCTTGAWATCTTAACAGTTGAAAATATTTACACATTACAAGTCTTAAAACTTACCCTTTATTGGCTCAATCAAAAACACTCCCAACTATTTCCAAGCATTCTTTTCAGTATGCAAAAAATATACACAAATACAATACACGCTTCAAAAGATAATTTCCATAAGCCTTGCTTTCGTACTAACACCCGCAGACAAGCTTTTCTTTCAATAGCAACGATTTTGTGGCAGGATCTACCCCCTGAATTCAAACAAATGTCTATATACTGTTTCAAAAAAAAAGGGTCAAACAATATCTTTTAACCAAACGAAATTCGTCTTGTGAAAAAAAAAAAACTACATTAATTCATTTTCAATATTCGTCTTCTTTATTTCTCGTTCTTGTTATGTCTTGTCGCTTTGCCGTGGCACATGTGTCACCTCCCCTTTTCTGCCGCTATTATTTTTGTGTTACTGTCTGAAGCTACTGAATGAAATTATAACTTAAATTGCCTAGCGTCTAACTTTGAAAACCTTACGGTTCCTTTAGCCTCATTTCCTTGAATGTAAAGCATTTTTTAATGAGAACTAATGTAAAATAAAACTAAATTAGAAAATAATGCATCTGAAAAAAAAAAAAGTGTGTGTGTGTGTGTGTGTGTAAATATTTATAATATGGAAATGGAAAAAAAAATAATGATAAAGATTAAAGATTAAAGATTAAAAAGATTAAGTGAAAAAAATTAAATGTTAGAAAGGCTAACGGCTAACGCTAATTATTTAATCCATCAAAAGATATAGCAGGTAACAAACTTGCCGCTCCACGACCAAAAGAAAACCAAGCTTCTATGGACGACTTTCTCGCTCTCCTTCAGGATTGTCTAAAACCAACCAGTATGAAGCTAGATAAGGTATGTTGAAAGAATTTGCTTGTATTTTGTATATCGTATATCGTATATCGTATATCGTATATCGTATATCGTATATCGGATATTGGATATTGGATATCGGATATTGGATATTGGATATTGTATATTGGGAGTATAAGAGCATGCATGTCACGAAAAAAGAACTTAAAGGCTCATTAATTATTCATGAATTTTTGACGTCGCTCAATAAACTCGCAGATCGTGTTTTATCATGTCTAAAAATATTTGGCTAAGCCTCGTGGTTTTAAACCTGATAAAACGCACCTGCTCCTTTACTAAACTATACTTAAATATTGGCAATAGAGGCAGCAATTGAATTTGATCTAATCTTATTTACATGAGAAAGAACTCAGTTTCCCAGGAGAAAAGACTCTATTGTTGTGCCTTCAGGCATGGCTGCCATCACGGTGCAAAGTATCCATTGGGGTTTTTCATGCAACTTCACGCTGTGAAGAAATTTGTTTAATCTGAAAAAGGAATTAATATTCAAAGTTGTCGTACAGATATATAAGTAAAAATACGAAGGTTCGATCATCGCAATCGCACAAAAACTAATGGAATATATGATTTGTTTTTCAATAGATTTGACAAACAGCTGTAAGTTGGCAAATTTCCCTGCTAACACATATTTTTTTGTAAAATTTGTAAGAGTCTAAAAGCCATACATCTGAATTATTGACAATCTTCACGAAACTTTACAATTTTACTATTATCTATGTGAACGATTTGACTGTCAACTCTTTTTTCTGATAGAAGAAAAACAAAACACTTTCCTTTTAATATCGTGACGTCACAATGAAAAACCTCAATATATAAGACTCGGCATTCAGCTTCTGATTGGTCAAGTTTTTTTTCCTGCTGCCTTTTTTATTAGTTAAGTGATGGTCTAATTCTTTTCTTCTTAAGTATCGAGGAAGACTTAATGTTCATCGCTGGTTCGATAGTTGTACATGTGGATATTCTATAGACAGAGCAATGAGAATCTACTCGAAATTCCCAGCAGAACCAGAGGTTAGTTATCATTCTTACTGCTCCCTACAGTGTCTAATTTATTACCCGACTATTGTTTGTGACCGAGACTAGACTTGATGATTTGTAGACAACAGATATCGCATGATATTTGTACTCGCTCTAGGCTTTCTCCTGCATTATTTGTACCATAGGTGGAAATATTAAACAGCCCTATTCATCTTAATGTTAGCTAATTTAAATTAACTAAGGTCTCACTTTGGTTTTTCAGTTCGAGTCCACCATCAATAGTTCGGAAATAATATTGAATGGGATGGAGTACAGTCAGCGAGTATTTGGTTATGTGACTCCCGAGATAACAGGCAGGTGACCTCCTGGGAGGGGTGGGGGTAGGGAGATTCTGAATGCTATTGTCAAGGTACAGAAAAGCATTCTGACAGGGAGGGGGTAGTATTTTTGTCATAGGTACGGAGAGGCGCATCCTGACAGGGAGGGGATAGTGTTTTCGTCATGGGTACAGAGAGACATCCTGACAGGGAGGGGGTGTGGGGGTGGAGCTATTGTCATGGGTACAGAGAGGAATCCTGACAGGGAGCGGGTTGTGCTATGGTCGAGGGTACAGACAGGCATTCTGACAGGGAGGGTTAATGCCTATGTGCAACCACACAAAAGTTCTGTTGGTGGTTGGCAGTGTTGTTGACCTCATAACATCTTGGATGTCTTTCTGTAGGCCAATACAGATTTGCAGTAAGCTCAGATGATAACTCAGAGCTTTGGATCAGTCGGGA